TCGGTTGAAGAGTTGCTGAAGATCCGGCTAAAACATGGGCGAGAGCGCGTCGAGAGGATCATCCACATAGTCTCCTCTTCATTCAACTCAAGACCTGCCGGCACGCTGCCCAAGCTTGATGCCGGCGGCGACGACAATGGCGAGGACGAAAGTGACGATACGAAATCTTCGTCTTCACTGTCCGCGATCTCAGCTGGTCCCAGGTTCAACTTCGGCATGACGACCCTCTCGTCCGTCTGGATCTTTTGTGTCGCTGGTGGCGGCAGCATATCTTCTTCCCCGGTTTCGATGATAGCCATCTCCTGGACCGCCAACCCGTCTTCGTTCGTCTGCTCTTTCAGCTCAGTCGCGAAGTTCGCATCTCGCCCGACTGGATCTGTACCCTTGCCTCCACCAAGACTGGCTCCATGAACGTCGGCGGCAGGCTTGTCTCCCACAGTCTGCCGGGTCTCATCGCTGTCAACCTCATCCAACACCTCCCAGACCCCCTCCAGGTCGAACACGGTCGCCACAGAGACCTTGCCAAGGCACTCTCTGGTCGCGACCCTCAGCTCGTCCCCCTGCTTCCCAACCTGCAGCAGCCTAGCCCGCACCGCATCCCGCAGCAGCGGCAGGATGCCCGCAGCCGCCAGCGTTGTCAAAATCACAGCTCTCTGGCCCCCTTCAACGAGACTCCGCGCCACAGCCTGAAACGCAAGCCGCATGCCAAAGCTCTCATCCTCGGCACTGATTCCCGTCACGCAGCCCCTCTCGAGCCCCCCGAGGAGAGCCCCCTCGTCAACTTCCCGGCATCCTGTCACGATGGCGCCCCGGCGCCGCAGAGCATCCCTACGGCAACGCTCGCGCGCCGCAAGCAAGGATGCCGAGACGGGCTCGATGGGGAAGTGAGAGCTGGCCTGCGAAGGAGGCGGGTCGTCTGCCATGTGGCGGCCTGTTGATATATCTGACGTCGCAGAATCGGATGAGGCAAGAGAGAGAGAGAGAGAGAGCGAGAGAGAGAGAGAGAGAGAGAGAGGGTAACTTGAAGATCCGTCAGTCTTTCATATTATTCCACCTGATGAACCAGCCACCTTGATCCGAGAGAATGAACGCGACTGATGAAGAAATGATGGCGCGTGTCGAGACCCGTGCTCGCAGGTTGTTAGACGGGGAGGTGTCACGAAGTCACCTGACGATGCTTGTTGAGCAGGTACCTTATCTAGGTACCTGCTGAGGAGTAAAAAGCAAAGAAAGGTATTGTGGCGCACACCGTTCGCTCCTTACATCAGCCACCGTCAAATGACGTCAGGGTTGCTTCACAATAGTGCCTACCTTTTGTCATCATTGACGCCAGAGGTATCACATGCAATGGAATTGAAAATGCACCATCCTGATGGAGAACGAGATCATGATTCAACTCGCAGTATGGGCGCTAAATAGACAGCGTTGCCTTCTGAGGCTAGCTGCTTTGAAGGAAATATGAAAAGACCCGCCAGGTGGATAGTTTAACCCATCTTTTCTCGTCTAAAAGAACCATGTGCATACTCGAACAAGGTATCACAAAAACAAATCATAGGTAGAAACGAGGCCCGTGCATGACCTGCTTCCATCGTCTGCCTCGCTGGCGTCACGACCACCCGGTCCGGTAGGCTCGTAGAACGACCCCCACATCAATTGTGCCATTGCGCCTCCCTGACATGCTCATCCATGTGCTCACCGTGTCGAGACAAGCACCATCTCAAAGCCCATGCTCTAAGCGGCAGTCCCGGGCGGCATGTTATCAGAGACCTGCCGGTTTCGTCGGCCGCCCTTCAGACTCTTGACTCTGGAGAGGAATCCGCCAGAAGGTTTGTCGCCGTCTTCGTTCGTGGCCCTGCGTTCGAGAGGACCTCCTTGGTCGGAGCCGCGTCGGGGCACAGGTGGCGGCGGGCTGATGGGTGACAGGGGACCGGCTGAATCCGTCCTCTTGACTGTGATGGTCTCGCCCTCCTTGCCATATTCGTTGAAAAACGGGTTGCGCTCACTGCCATACTGGCTGCCTGTGGTCGCGGGAGGCATGCCGTCAGGTGGGGAGCGCGGATAGGCAGCCTCAGGGTTGGTCATGCGACCTGAAGAGTTGAACTCGCGCGGCTGTCTTCCGTTCAGGTTGCGAATGCGGTGGGCTAGGGACTTCTTGCGCTGCATTCCGTCGTTCTTCGCCTGTTCGGCCTGCTCAGCCTCAAGCTTCTGGATTGCCGTACGGGTGGCAGGAGTGCCTTCAAGGAAGGTTGAAGTGCCCAGGCCGAGGGACTCTTCGCCGTGCAGCATCGTGGTACGCGCGCTCGGGTCAAAGACGGGCATCTCGCCGCGGGCCGATGGGTAGTTGTACCCGTACTTGTTGACACCGGTAGAGTACTCCTTGAAAGCCTCATCGGTGCCATTGCCCATGAAGGTGGCGTGGTCTGGGTTCTTGTTGAGTGGGCCGGATCCGCCAAGCGACATGTTGAGCGAGTCTTCGGGGAAAGCTTGCATAGGCGCACGGCGACTGCCCTTGCGGTTCCGGTTAGGGTTAACGGCGTCAAAAGGGCCGTCGTGATGGACTACGTCGTGGTCAGTCATGATCTGATGCGAGAAAGATGTGGAGGGCACGTGGTGACTTACATCCGCCACCAAAAAGGCTGGTGTGGTCGAGCTGGTCAATGACATCAAGCTTGCGTTGAGGCTTCTTCTCCTTGTCTTTACCTTCGCGGTGACGGCGCTCACGCTCACGGCGTCGGGCCTCGCGAGCCTTCTTCTCCTCCTCCGGCATTGGCTTTTCCAGAATTGATGATTCCGAGTTGCGACGCGGTCTCCCGGCTGGTGGGCGTCGGTGTGGGGAGTCCGTGGGGCCGGATGGTCGAGAACGATCCGGGCGGTTGCCATCACCTTGCATTCTGCGAGCTCTCAGGGCCTCTTCCTGCGACCGAGTCGGTCGGTGGCCAGGCGGTGGGACTCGGCGTCCGGGCGGCGGCATGTTCTCACGGCCGGGTGGAGGCGGGGGGCGGTTGGTCGGGCGGGCTGGATGGGTTCTTGTCTTCGATG